TTTGTCTAATTAATTCATGTTAAATATAGTAAACAAATAAAGCCAGCAAAATCAATGTCTCAAGAATTTACTAACTTTGTAATATCACGCCAAGCACGTACGTATGCACTATACTTTTACTGGTATTCTAAATGTATGCGTGTTATTTTGAGTCGAACACGTGCTTTATTTGAGATCTGATTAATTTTTTTTTACACAAAAAGATATTTATTATGACGGACATACATCAATAATCAATCTGTCCAATTAAAGAAATCAGCATTTAAAGTGTTCGTTATTTTGAAACTTGCTATTTTTGATACCACTATTTTAAAGAGTACTATTTTCTAAATGAATCTGGCAATGGATTTACTGTTGATATAACCACCCCTTATCTGTTATTTGACCCCGTAACGGTGACACCTATTATTTCTGTATTTGATAGCATTGATTCGATATCCATCTTCCACACATGATTTATTCATCAAGTATAATCCTGTGATTTCTGTTAATTACAACGTTTCACCGCATTACATAATAGTTGCAATAACGTATTATATATATTGGAGGCAAAAATCCTTATCTTTTTATGCTCGTACTTACTCTTATGTACGTTCGTAATTATGTACTTAAATTTTCTTTTCCCTTCTAAAATTTTATCATTACCTAACGAATGCCTTTTTGAAATATTTAATAACCTTCGAACTTATCGTAAAAGTTTATTTTCATGTCTTCTTGTAAATCGTCAATGGTGTAGAATTGTTGTTCCAATATTATGGAGTGAACCTTCTTGTTATTTTGATGATAAAAGATTTATAAAAATATGTCTTTTATCTTTAAATTCTGATGAACAAGCTCATTTAATTCCATATAAATTATTTTTACCAAATAATAATTCAAAAAAATTATTATTTAAATACACAAGTTATATTACTTCTATTTATAGTTGTTATTTAAACAAAGGTATCGAAAATTGGCTTAATCACAAAGGATATAGAAATAACGGATCTCGTAGTGATTCAATAACTTATTCTAAAAATTGTGAGAAACTTATAGATGTTATTAAAAGTTCTTTAATAGCAATGTTTTTACGAACAAGTAAAAGACTTAAGCATTTAAGTATTGATAGAATTATTTATGATAATATATCTGGATTATTAATAGACGTTCTTTATAGAAATTCTACTATTATTTCTTTAAATCTTTATGATGATAAAATTGGTCCTGAAGGTGGAAAAGTATTGGCAGGAGCTCTTTACAAAAGCAATTCAATAACAAATTTGGATCTTCGTTATAATCAACTCGGTCTTGAAGGTGGAAAGGCATTAGCAAAGGCCCTTTGCAAAAACACTACTCTAATTTCTTTAAATATTGGTCATAATCAACTTGGTCCTGAAGGTGGTAAAGCATTGGCAAAAGCTCTTTGTAAAAATACTACTTTAACATCTTTAGATCTTAGTGACAATAAAATTGGTGTGGAGGGCGGAAAAGCATTGGCTGAAGCACTTTGTGTAAATACTACTTTGACTTCTTTAAATCTTTATTATAATCAACTCGGTGTCGAAGGTGGAGAAGCCTTATCAGAAGCTCTTTATGTGAACTCTACTTTAATTTCTTTAAATCTTTATTATAATCAACTTGGTATTGAAGGAGGGAGAGCATTATCACGAGCTCTCTGTAAAAATACCACCTTAACTTCTTTGAATCTTGCGTTTAATTTATTTGGTCCTGAAGGAGGTAGAGCATTGGCAGAGCTTCTATGTAAGAATACTACATTAACTTCTCTAAATATTAGTGGTAATAATATTGGATTTGAGGGAGGAAAAGCGTTGGCAGAAGCACTTTGCACAAACCGTACTCTGACTTCTTTACATCTTGATAATAATCGACTTGGTTTTAAAGGGGGTAAAGTATTGGCGGAAGCTCTTAGTGTGAATACTTCTCTAACTTTTTTAAACCTTTCTTGCAATCAACTTGGTTCAGAAGGAGGGAAGGCGTTGGCTGAAGCTCTTTATGCGAATACTTCGTTGACTTCTTTAAGTCTTTATTTTAACCAACTTGGTTTTGAAGAAGGAAAAGCGTTGGCGAAGGCTCTTTACAAAAATACTACTTTAACCACTTTAAATCTTTGTTATAATAATATTAGTTCCGAAAAATTAAAGATATTGAAAAATGATCTTTTTATAAATACTACGCTAACTTCCTTAATTATTTAGAAAAAAAAAAATTATGTCAAATTTTCTTTAATAAGTTTTGTTGTAATTTTTATATACTATGTAATAATTAATAAATACTCTACTTCAAGAAAAAAATTTAAATTGACTCACAATTTACGTAATAAAATGTAATTTTATTAATATCAATCATCCCTTATACCGTAGGGATCATAGACAAATTTGCCGGTACACAGATATCCAATCATAATAAAAATCACGTCTTTAAAATAGTCGACATTACAAAGATGTGATTACTGTACTGTATATTTTATAAGGATCCCCAAAAATAAACCACGAAATAATACGTTAGAAATATTGTATATTGACAATAACAACTTTTTCAGAAAACTCTCGAATGAACGATTTAGTCTTCTTATGATACCTTAAATTATAATTTACTGAGAAAGTTCGAAACGGTGTAAGAGATAATTTGAATATACATTATTTCCGAAATAAATATTTATTTTTTAAAATTTTATAATTTTGCCTTATTTTCTAATTTAAGCAGTTTGGCAATATTTCCGTACAAAAATTTATCCTTAATTTTATCATCCAAACCTAATTCATCTACTTGTTTCATCGTGTCTTTCCAACTAAGTTGAGGAAAATTTGTACCATAACAAACTTTATCTTGACCGTATGTTTTCATGTAATGAATAAGTTCTGAAGGATAGTAACGAGGAAGGTATGCAGAAGTATCGATGTAAACATTAGGATGCTTCCAACAAAGGCTAATCATTTCATTCGTCCAAGGATAACCAATATGCCCTCCAACAATTTTTAATTGAGGAAATTTAAGAGCGATTTCATCAATATAGGGAATTGGTCTTCCTGTTTCAGATGGACATAATGGACCTGTGTGCCCAACTTGCGTAAAAAATGGGATATCTAATTCAATACATTTTACGTAAAGAGGATAATAGTGTTTATCATTTGGTGGAAGGCCATAAAGCCAAGGAATAACACGAAGGCCTTTAAAACCGAGTACATTAACGGCTCTTTCCAATTCTTTAACTGCATCGAAAGGATCAAGTAAATTGACCCCTGCGATTCCAATAAACCTATTTGGATATCTTTGCACCCATTCACTTACTATATCATTAGAAATTATTATCTTTCCAGGTCTATACCATGCATTTAAACATAATTTTTCTACACCAGCTTCATCTAATAGTTCAATTGTCTGTTCTGGTGTAAGACCCTTTTCCGTATACTCTGGAGGTGTTTTTGATTGCATCAAAAGACGGGATACTTCCGGAACACCTTTAATGAAATCTGGATGGGCAATTTGGCACCAAGCATCGATAGGTCCATGCTTTTTCAAAGCCATTTTTTTTCTTTGCAAGTAATTAATCTCAAATTTAACAGTTTTTTTATATACTTCAAAAATTTTAATCGAATAACGATAGTGAAACAAATAAACATCAGATGATATCATCGATCTTAATAATCTTAATTACGCAAATCTACATATAAGGTATATAATATGTATTACCTGACATACGTACGTTGTGAGGGGCTCCGGTCGTCCGACCCTACAAGTTTTTATTTTTTTTCGTTATTATCTATATTTTATTATTAGTATTAGTATTATCAAATGTATATACTTAGCTTAGTTATCCGGGGGCTCCTTCTCCTGGATCAAATCGATAAGTCGGA